ACCTCCCTCCCAGGGTTGTTATGAGGATAAAATAGGATAACATTGGTAAAGCGCTTTGCACAGCATAAAGCAATATGTAAATGTCACCATCATCATTATTGTGGCACGTGCTACTGGGATGAGGCAGAGAAGGGATGGAGTGAAGGGGCAGAATTCAAAACGCATTTTCAGACAGGGTCAGTACAACACCAATTGGCCTTGCCTGACTATGTTTGTTACAAGAGAGATTTGTATTTGGGAGGACGGTTTTGTGGGAAGCAGTAGTGGAGGGAGTGAGAATGAAGCAGAAAAGGGAAGAAAAAAGAGAGTCAATGAACCATTTAAAAACACCCAGAAGAAGCAGCCGATGTTCAGGAGGGGACCCAGATGAGCAGAAGCATGGCCGCGTGCAGTTTGATGTACGCTAGAAAACCTTAAGCAGTCCTTGCGTGATGTTTGGTTTCCTGAGCAATCCTGTTTCTGTCCTCCTTATGAGGAAATGTTCATGTTTCTTGATGACTGTCAAGGTTATAAAAACTTTTTTTTTCCCCTGAGGAAAGAGCCCTGGTTCTGTAGTAGTAGGCCTGAGTGCATTTACTGTGTCCTGTTGGGCAAATCTCTTCTCCTCCCTGGCCTCAGTTTCCTCTTCTGTAAAATGAGGCTTCAGAGGTTGCTGTCAGCCCTCGGTCCAGAAACCGGTGCCAGTATTCTGTCTCTGCATTTAAATTCCTCCTGCCTTTCCCCTTCTCCCCTGCTGTGACATTGCTCAAAAGGAGCCCCAGAACTGCCAAAGATAGATGCTAACAGCAAGATAACAGGAGTGGAAAGGGAGGGGAACCAGTCAGGTAGTGAGGGCAAAGGAAGCTCCAGAGACAGCCTGGGCATCTCACTGGGCTCCAGGCTATGTCCAGAAAACCAAAGACAGCTGCCCCACTCACCCTGAGGTGTGTTGGGCAGATCTCCCCTGATGTCTGAGGTGGGATGTGAACATCAGTGTCCAGGCTGGGCAGGTGTGGAGGGCTGCTATGTGTACCAGTGGAGCGAAGGTCCCTCCTCCAGGAGGTGACGTCTCTGCTGACCTGAGAGGAGTGGGCACATTCCCCAGCTGGAACTCCACCTCCCACCCCAGGGCAAACACCTGTCCTTCATTCAGTCACAAGCCCTGGGAATGGGGGGCCTTGTAACCAGCACACACTGCAGGAGACACTTGGGAGGGATAGAGGACAAAGGAGGCCCAAGCAGGGCCAGGACAGCAGGCCCTAAGCTGAGGTTCGGGAAACACAGTCACTACTCCAGCCCCATGGGACAGCTGTCTGAAGCCTCCAGCTGGGGAGGTAGCATTGACATTGGCCTAGCATGGGTGGAGGGAGAAGGTGGAATCTGGTGCGAGCTGTCTATCCTCCATCACTCACATGATGTAACACATTGCAAGGCTGCGGAGTCAAGACTGAGGAATGGGGAATTCCTGCTTAGGCAAGGCTGGGGACTGCAAGGTCCCTGGCTTGGAATGGCCAGCACAGGCCCTCCAGGAATGCCTCGGGCACGCCATGGGCGCGACCAGTCTGGCCACCCCCAGAGCCTGCTCCATCGAGGTGCACTGGGGCACCAGGCCTGGCACGGTGCTCAGGCAGAAGGGCTCCCTTTCCAGTGTTCATCCTGTGTGGCTATCCTGACCTTTCAGACATAGAATTTGGAAGCTGTGTGAACTTTTGGGTCAGGGTCAAGGCGAGAGGAGGAGCTCAGCATGGGAGTGCTGAGCAGTGTGAGTGGGGAGCTTGCCCTTCCTCCCCCTCCTCCTCCTCCCCTTCTCCCCCTCCTTCCCCTCCCCCTCCTCCTCCCCACTTTCCTCCTTGCCTCACTCCCTCCCCTCCCCTGTTTGCACTTGGATTTGCAACCGAGGTCAGTGGCATCAATGGACCTTGGGGCGCCCTGACCAAGGGGCCAGTTCTTCAGGCTGAGCCATGGCAGAGGTAGTCACTGTCACACTGGGCCGTATCGTGAAGCCACCGCCCAAGGCCACTTCTTCCTGAGTCCTCAGACCTGCAGAGATGGCAAACACCTCCTCTGAACAGCTTCATTTTCCCCTGTGTTCCCCTCTTAGTCTGGTCATTCTGGGCCTCCCTCCTCTTCCCAACAAAGCTCTGCTTTTATGGCTTCGATGGTAAGCTCCCTGAGGGCAGGGAAGGTTTTCTTGAGCACCTAGCACACCTCAGGTGCCTGTTGCCACACTAGATGAGGTGTGTTTGACTTTTGGGAACACAAAGGAAGGTATAGAGCCTTCCCTCAAAGAGAATGCCATCTTATCGGCAAGAATTTGTGCTGCTAGCTCCAAGGTGAGGCCTCCAGGAATCTGAGAAAGGAGGGCAGGCACAGCTGCACTGGGAAGGCTGCCTGGAGGCAGGGCCCCCTGAGCTGGGTACCAAAGGAAGGCATGGAGGGAATTCAGTCTGGTTTAACTCAATTCAACAGATGTATTAAGGTCTCTGTCCCAGGCCCTTGGAATACAGATGCAAAAGAAACCGAATGGGGTCTTTGGGGGCTGGCTACATCTTAGCTACATTTTGAAGGGAACAAGGAATTCCAAAAGGCAGAGGTGAGGCGGGTGGGCATTCTAGAAACAGGACGGTTTGAGCAAAGGTGTGGAGAGAGGAGATAGTGAATTATGTGGGAGGAACAGCAAGGTGGGTTGGGCCAGGTTGTAACTAGTTCTAAATGCCAAACAAGGTCCCTGGGGAGCCAGTGGCCCAAGCTATTCTGGAGGAAAATCACTTTGGCGGCTGTGGGGAGGCCAGACTGGAGAGGGCAGTCATTGGAGGTGAGGAGGCCAGTTAGGAGGCTATTGCCCAGAGAAGTGACCACAAGGCAATTTGAGGAGGGAGATGGATACCTCTAGACTTGCTTGGAGATCTCCGAAGATGAAGATAGTGAGCTAGGGGCAGGTGGTTGGTGCAGTGGATAGAGCACCGGCCCTGGAGTCAGGAGGACCTGAGTTCAAATCGACCTCAGACACATAACACTCACTAGCTGTGTGACTCTGAACAAGTCATTTAACCCCCAACTGCCTCGCAAAAAAAAAAAAAAGATGGTGAGCCAATCAGAAACACTACAGTTGGGCACTGCACACAGCTTTCCAAAGAAACCAGCCACCAGGAATTGAAGAAAGGAAAGCCTTCTGATTACAAGACAAGACTTCTATTCTCCAAGCAATCCTCAAGTGGACTGGGCTATCTCTGGAAGGGAGAGGTGGCTCCATCTCAGCTTCCTGGTACCTTGGGTTAGAAGGCCACCTCTTCCAATCCGGAGGTCTTGATTCTGCCTTGTGGACAGCCCCAACTCACTGCTTTTGTTCACTTTTCTTTCTGCACCAGCCCCACCCCCCAGCCTCTGCCCTTTTAGCAGGGAATAGGGCTGTTCTATACTCCAGGAAGAAGTGACTTTGACATTTGTAATAATTACACAAATCACTTAAAGTTCTGGCAAGTGCTATACCTAGATCATCCCATTTGATGTGCATGTCGAACATCCAGCCTCTTCTGTCCATGATTTGGAAAGAGACACGAGGGAGGCCCGCCCCGAGGGCCTTCCTTCCCTGAAGCCTGGCTTAGGGTTCAGGACTCCTGTCTGGGTTCTGACATCATCACCGGAAGTCCCTGCCAACAGGTACATAGCTGTGACGTCGGTGGCGCTATGAACCGGCCTGACTGTTTGGGAAAGCAGTGGGGAGCCGTGCCCCAAATGTCATTAAACTGTGCGTGTCCTTTGACCCAGCCACATGGCTCCCAAGTCTATATTCCAAAGAGACCAAAGATCTCTTGTCCTCGTCTGTACATAAATATTTATTGTGTGCTATTTTCAATAGAAAAACCTGGAAACTGGATAGCATCTGTAGGGAAATGGCTGGGTGATAGTCAATGAATGGGGTGGGGTGGAATGTTATTGCACTCTGAAAAATGAGGAAATGGCGTTTCCAAAGAGACAGGGAAGGGCCTGCATGAACTGATGCGGAGGGGAGGGAGCAGAACCAGGGAATCAGTCACCGGCAATAACAATGTTGCAAACAACTTGGGAAGACCAGAGAACTCTGAGCCACACAATACCCCGGCCCCCACACGCAATTCCAGAGGCGGTGGGATGACCCATGCCGCCCGACTCCTCAGGGCACATCAGGAGATCTCTCCTGGACATGGCCAATGCAGGAACTGGTCCTGCTTGCCTGTGCTTATCTGGTACAAGGGCTTTGTCTGGCTTTCTTTTTCCTTTGGGTGGGGGGAGGGGAGTGGAAAGTGGCTTTTCATTAATTGAAAAAAAAATTTAAAAAAAAGTAACAAGGCTAGGAGGGGAAGCCCCTGCTACCATATGCATTTGTTGCTAGGTGGTGCCATACTTAGTGCTGTACTTGGGAGCGCAAGGGAGACCCGAGTTCAAATCCTACCTCAGACACTAGCGAGCTGGATGGCCCTGAACCAGCCACTTCATCTTTCTCCTCCTCAGTTTCCTCATCTGTAAAACAGGATAAGAATAGCATCTCCCTAACAGGGTTGTAGTGAGGATTAGATGAGATAATGTATATGGAGCACTTTGCAAGCCTATCAATAAATGCTCATTATTACTGTTGATATTATCTCGATATTATTCTCACCTACATGTGTTACCAGTCTGTTATCTCTAGTCACTCAATAAACGTTTATTAAGCCCCTACCATGGTCCAGGCACGGTACAGCATGGCTCCCTAGCCTCATCCAGGGTCCTAAAGGGACAGGACGGGCTCAGGAGGTGTCTCTGAAGGGTGGGATCACCTCAGGGCGGGGAGATGGGCATCAGCGGTACTTCCCCCTGCCCCCCAAGGACAGTAACCATCCATCCTAGGCTGGGCCCATTCCACTAGACTCCCAGGTTGGACTTGGGGGCAGGGGTTGACTCTATGATTCAGAAGCAAGTGAGCACAGGGTCTTGGCCTCACCCACACAAATACCCCTGCTGGGTGGAGTCTGGCACTCTGCATACCTTCTGGGGGACCAGGCCTCCTTCCCCCAGGGGGTGCCTCCACCCAGCCCCAAGTCTCCCCAGGCACTGGAAGGACACCTTGGACTTTCATTTATTCAGTCAACAAGCATTGTCAGAATGTCTACTACAAGTCAGATGCTATGCTAGGCCTGGATGCTATGAGGCCAAAAAGGAGGCTGGCCCTGCCCTCTTGGAGCTTATCTGCTCCTAGGTTGTTGAGTCATAAAGATTAGATACAAAATAATTTCCTGGCTTGAGGAGAAACAACCTTTGAAAACAGCCAAGGAAATTGAAGTGGAGGTGAAGACGCCTAGGGAGCAGCCCGTGCAAAGGCCCGGAGATGGGAGATGACGTGGGAGATGCAGCTGTTGAGTCTGGGGAACAGGCCCCGATGGCCTGAAAGTAGAACTCGTTTTCCGGAAATGTGCAACTCAAGTCTGTCTTGCTCTGATGTCTCAAGCAGAGGTGGCAGAGTCAGGAAGACTTGGGTTCAGATCCTGCGGGGGACACTGGAGAGTTGTGTGATTTCGCGAGGATGTCGCTGAATGCTGCCAGGCTTCATTTTTCTCCTCTGTAAAATAAGGGGTTCAGACTGGATAGCCTCTGAGGAAGGGGAGGAGGAGGAAGAGGGAGGAGGATGGAGGAAGGGGGAAGAGAGGAGGAGAAGGGGAGGAGACAAAGGGAGGAGGGAAGAGGGGGAAGGACAAGAGAGGGGAGGGGGAGAGAGGGGGAGGGAGGAGGGGGCAGCGGCAAGAGACCCCTCCCACCTCGGGATGTCTCTACTCTGCTGGGTCCGGCCAAGTTGGAAAGGCATGGCTGAGGTCCAGGTGGGGAGGGTGGGATGTCAGAGCGAGGGGTTTGAACACACAACTGGGGGGCGGGGGAGGCTGTGAATGGCTCGTAGGTGCGTTCTATGCCCAGTCCTGGGCCCCTCCTCGCCCCCCGCCCCTCGTCCGGCCCCGGAGCCCGGAACCGAGTGCTCCGGGAGGGAGGGGGACTCGGCAGCTCGCGGGTCTCTCCTGCTCTGCTCCTGGGGGTCCCTCGGCCAGGCGTGGGCGGCCGGGCACGCGCCGCCCGCTCGGGACGTGACCGTGACTGTGACCGTGACCGTGACCCCGCCCTCTGGAGCCCGGAGCCGCGGCGGGGGCGGGGCTGCGGGGCTGGGGGCGGGCCCGGGGGGCGGGGCAGGGGCCGGCTGCAGGGGCCGGGACTGGGCCGGGCTGTGACGCAGGCGGGAGAAGGGCTGGCCGCGGGCTCCCGGCGCCGGACGCCTCTGCGGGGGCTCCGGGGACTCCGGGCTCCCGAGCTAGGAGGAGGAGAAGGAGGAGAAGGAGGAGGGAGAGCAGGGGGAGGAGGGAGAGGCAGGAGCCGGAGGAGGGAGAGGCAGGAGCCCCACCAGCCGCCGGACTTTGCTGCCGCTGCTGCTGGGAGTGGGGCAGGCTCGGCGGCGGGCACGGGGGCACAGAGAGGTGGTTGTACTCGAGCTGCCGGAGTCCGAGCCCAGCGGGGTCAGCCTCGCGGGGCCGGAGCGGTGGGTGTCCGGGGGACACGGGGGTGGGGGGAGGGGGAAGGGGGCGGGGCGGGGCGGCTCGGCTGCTGAGTCCGGCCAGCCCGGCTGGGGGCCCCGGGCGTGGAGGAGGGGAAAGGGGGCCGGCCCAGGACCAAGAATGGAGGCGGGGAGGGGGTGGTGGTGGAAGAGGGCGTGGGGGTGGGGGTATGGACGGGGCGGAGTGAATGCCTGGAAGTGCTGGGGGAGCGGGGAGCTCCGCGTGTCTGTTTGTGAGTGTGTCTATGTGTCTGTGAGGGTTTCTGTGTGTCTCTTAAGAGTGACAGTGTGTGTTTGTGGGTCTGTGCCTGTGTGTTACCGCGTGTGAGTGTGTGTCCTGTGCGTTTGTTTCCATGCGGCAGCGTGTGCTTGTTTGGCTCTGTGTGTGTTTGCATGTTGTCTGCATGCACTGCCCATGTGCACGTCTGCCTGTGTGTGTCCTGGGCATTTGTGGGTCACTCCTGGGGTTTTATATCTTTGTGTGTTGGCACGGAGTGCCTGCGCCTCGGCGTGTATGTGTGTATGTGTGTGCATGTGGGGTGCACGTGTCCCATCCCCTCTCCCTGCAGCAGCTGGGACTGTTGCCGGGGTTGTTGGCCCCCCCCCCTCAGCTGACCCTTCTCTCCCTGTCCTGCTGGGGGACCCCATGGAGGAGAGTGGGGGGGGGCCGGCCAGGGAGAGTGCCTCCCTGGGTCTGCCGCTGCCTCTGCCGGCGGGTGGCCATGAACGGAGCTCAGATTTCTGGCCCAGGTCTGGGAAGTTAGAGGGCCTGGGTGCGATGGGTTGGCAGCCCCTGCCAGGCTCCTAATAAGGGTTTGTTTACTGACTTTTCAGGCAGCCAAGGGCCTGAAGGGAAGCCTCTCCTTACCACCCCAAGGCTGGATGATGGGCACCTGCTCCTTCCCACAGACAGCACTTTCAGCCCTGCCCGGCTTTTTAGTTCCGGAGTCCTTGCTCCTGCCTCAGTGTTTCATTCTGCCCTTCCTAGGGTGTGTGTTCTAGCGTCTGCCCGCCGCACTGGAAGGGATCCTCCTTGGCAGTTCTTGATTCACTTGCCGGGGCCCACCATGGGAGGTAACCTGGGCTGCCACCGCTCCATCCCTAAGGACCCCTCGGACCTTTCTCACAGCCGCAAGTTCAGTGCCGCCTGCAACTTCAGCAACATCCTGGTGAACCAGGAACGGCTCAACATTAACACGGCCACCGAGGAGGAGCTGATGACGCTGCCTGGGGTCACCCGGCCAGTGGCCCACAGCATTGTGGAGTACCGGGAGTACATCGGCGGCTTCAAGAAGGTGGAGGACCTGGCGCTGGTGAGCGGTGTGGGGGCCACCAAGCTGGAGCAGGTCAAGTTCGAGATCTGCGTGAGCAGCAAGGGCAGCTCGGCCCAGCATTCTCCGAGCTCCCTGCGGCGTGACCCGTACTCAGAACCCCAGCAGTACCACTTGGCGACAGCGCCCCCCACTGCAAAGGTTAACATCAACACAGCCACCCCAGCCCAGCTCATGAGCTTGCGAGGGGTGTCAGAGAAGATGGCCCTGAGCCTTGTGGACTACCGCCAGGAGCACGGGCCCTTCAAGAGCATCGAGGACCTCATCAGGTTGGAGGGCATCAGCTCCACTGTCCTGGACAAGATCCGGCCCCAGGTGTTCGCTGAGAGGTCCCGGCCCCCCTCCACACACACCAATGGCGGCTTGAATTTCACTGCCAAGCCCCACCCTAGCCCCACGTCCCTGAGCCTCCAAAGTGAGGACCTTGACTTCCCCCCTGGGGGCCCGACCCAGCTCATCTCCACCCGTCCGTCCATTGAGGCTTTTGGTGGAACCCGAGACGGCTGGCCAGTGTGGAGGCTGGCCACCTGGAACCTGCAGGGCTGTTCCATTGAAAAGGCCAATAACCCAGGTGTGAGGGAAGTGGTATGCATGACCCTGCTGGAGAACAGGTGAGCAGTCGCGGGGGTGGGGGGGGAGGGGGGAAGGTGATGGCTCCTCTGAGGAGGGGGAGGGTTCCTGGGTGCTCAGCCTGACTCCAGGCGTGGCCATCGTCAGATGCAGGGCTCAGGCCTGAGACAGGCTGCAGCCGATGACCTGAGCCCCTGAGAGGGTCAGTGAACTGGCCCCCACCCTCCGGGGCCTTACCATCCCCGAGCACAGGGCCAGGGTGTCAGGGAAAGCACGAGGCGGGTTTTTCCCTTGTTTTACTTTTTTAAAGTCTAACTGCCCGATGTGCTGATGCACCCATGTGTCCACATGTGTTGGGGGAGCTGAAGGGGGGTTTATCTGGCTGGGATGGGGTTGGGGGATGGGCACTGTCTTTAAGTAAGTGAGGGACTCTGTGGGGGGGAGCCTGGGCATCCTCACTCTCTTTGGCCCCAGAGAGAGGGCAGGCCCTGGGGGTGGGGAGGACGGGTGCTGAGGCCGTTGTCACCTGCATGCTGTCCCAGAGTGCAGTGGGCTGCCCAGGAGGGGCTCCCAACAGAGGCTGGTGCCCACCTGTTGAGATGGAACAGTAGGGATGTCTTTGGCCCAGAGGCAGCCGAGGTCCCTCCCCACTTTCAGATTCTGAGCGATCTGGAGAGAGTGACTCATTCCTCTCCTTTATTTAACCTAAAATTGGTTTCCCGCCGCCCACCAGAACCTAGCCAGCAGTGTGGGGAGTCTCTCTGTGTCCCCACAGTCAAACAGGCTGGACTGGCCTGCTTGCAGGTTGAGGTTAGGCCCAAATGGCCCAGACCCCAGGGGCTGAGGGAGGGAGAAGATGCTGCCCACCCTGCTGCCTCTTCCGGTGTTCAGGGGCAGGAAAGTGGGCAGGAGGGGAGACTTTCACTGTTTCCCAGGCCTGGCTGAGCGCCCTCCCCTCTACAGGTCAGTTACTGACTAAAAACCTGCAGACTCCCCTGGGGGCTGCTGTCAAACCACTCTTGGTCAGTCAGTCTTGGGTGCATTTTATCTTGTAGCCAACAAGCCCATGGGGGTGGAAGAAAACCTCTTTGTAAAGACTGCTCCCTGCTGCTGTTCTGTGATTCCAGGCCTGAGAGAGATGAGTCAGGTGCTGGCAGGTCACGGGCCTCAGATGATAAAGTGTCACCCTGAGGGGGCATTGAGCCGGGCCGTGGCCCTGCTCTGGGTGTCCTGCTCTGGGAGCAGAGCCAACTCCCGCCCAGCAAGGACGGCGCAGGTGCAGTGGTCTTCCAGCTGAATGTAGAGGCCGGGCCTAAGCCACAGAGGCTGTGGATGCCTGCCTCGGGCGATGCTTCCGGTCTGTGGGACCTGAGCCTCTGGGCCTCCTCCTTGGGGGGCCTCCTCCTTGTGCGTGCTGTGTGCTGGGCACTATGCTAAACACTGGGCACACGAGGAAAAGCAAGAGCAGGCCCCAGCCTCAAGGAACTTGTTACTCAAAACAGCTAGCATGTGTGTGGTGGCAAAGCCCTTCGCAGACACGATCTCATGCACCAGGCATGGGTGACTTGCCCAGGGTCACATGGCTAGTTCAGTGTCTGAGGCAGGCTTTGAACTCAGGTCTTCCTCATTCCACTTCTAGGGCCCTGTCCATTGGCCATGCTGCCCGGGTTCCTCCTTGTCCATGACCTCTCCCTAATCCCCTTGTGTTGTTGGCTGCCTGGGTCTTTGGTTGATTTTGTTTGGCTGGGGAGCCTGAGAGGGAGGGGGAGGGGGGAGTTCTAATTCTTCTTTTCTCTTCTTTTCTGATGGTCAGGGTGGGCCTTTATCCTTGGGTGATGGGGGAGCTTCTGAGCTGGGGAGGGGCATGGGGGGGCTAATCTCCCAGGCCCAGACTTAGGGTAATGTTAGAAGCTGAGAACGTGAGGAAGGGATGGAGGGATGGATGGAGGGATAGATGGATGAATGGATGGATGGATGGGAAGGAAAGATGGAGGGAGAGAGGGAGGGATAGATGGATGGATAGGATAGATGGGAAGGATGGATGGAGGGATAGATGGATGAAGGGATAGATGGATGGGTGGATGGATGGATGGATGGATGGGAAGGATGGATGGGAAGGACGGATGGAGGGATGGATGGATGGAAGGATGGATGGATGGAGGGATAGATGGATGGTTGGATGGAATGATGGATGGATAGATGGATGGATGAATGGGAAGGATGGATGGATGGATGGATGGATGGATGGATGGATGGATGGATGGATGGATGGATGGATGGATGGGAGGGATCCACCCGTTTGCCAGGAGGCATCTCTGCTCTATAACTGAAGGAAGTGTGGGAGCCCTTGGGAAATCCATTCTAGAAGACTTTCCTGAATGTTCCAGCCTAGATCTGTTGGAAGGAGATCTGATTAGCCTTGGGGAAGGAGAATTAACAGAGAAAGTTTAACTCTGTTTCTCCAGGACAACTTGAACCCCAAATGCTCAGGGCAAGGCTTGACTCAGAATCTCCTGGTGCCTATGAGATAGAAGCAGGTGGAGGCTGCTTGAGGCTCACATGGCCTGGCCCCCCGAAAGTCTCTGGACTGCATATCCCTCCTGCTCCCCTATGGCATGGATGTTCTGGATAACCCCAACACATCACTGGCCCATAAATGGTAAATTTGGCTTAAGGTCTAATGCCTTCAAAGTCTGGATGGTGCTTCTGGCCCTGTGAGTGTCTGAGAGCACTAGAAGAGGCTGGCTACTAAACATGCCCTATACAGCACAGGTGCAAAGTTGTAGCTAGGACAGGCAGATGAGACTTTGGCCCAGACTTTGAATTTAGATGCAGACTGTTAGAGTGTCATTTACCATGAGCCATACAGAGAGTGGGGAAGGTACCATGGCAGCCCTTTACTGCTACCTTTGTTCTCAGGCTGAGAGAAACTCCATCCAGAGGAGTTATCAAGGTAGAGGAAAAACTTAACACTTAACCTTTAATTGGGATTGGAGATATTCTGGTGCTGGAGGGTTTCCCAGGTGGCTCATCTGTATGACTGGACAACTGCATAGCATAACCTCCAATGCAATCTAATAAGCATGAATTAAGCACCTACTGTGTAGAGAGACAAAAATGAAACAGCCCCTGCCCTCAAGGAGCTTATGGTCTGTGGGTGGGGGCAGGAAAGGGGTGGCCTTGGAAGTAAGGAAGTAAAAAGAAAGGAATGCAAAGTAATTTTCCAGGTTCTGGGGGAGGTGCTGAGGATACCAGGCAAAGCATGGAACAATCCCTCCCCTCACAGAGTTTACTCTCTAAGGGGGGAGACAACAGCTAATGTAGGTTCAGTGAAAGATGCCTGGGGAGGGAGGGCAGAAAGGGCTTGGCATAGAACAGAAGGGAGAGGGGGATTCTCTGAGGCACACATGAGGAGGGAATGCAGTCCAGGCACGGGGGCAGCCTGGGCAAAGGCATGGGGACTGGAGGTGGCCAGATTGAAGGGCGAGGTCACTGAGGCTGGAAGGCTAGGCCAGGGCTAGGCTAGGTTTGGGGTTCAGCTTAGACTATCGGCCCCCAAGAGGCCACGCTCCTGGCCATGGTCTGTCCGCCCTCTTTCCTCGGCATCGATCCCCTGCATGGCGTCTTTTGTAAGTACTTAAAGAATAGTTTTATTAGTGCCTTTTGTTTTCACCTCACATTCTTTCCCAAACATATGACCTGCCTCTGAATTTCGTTGTCTGGACAACAGACCTTCTCTGTGTTCTGTGACCGAGAGGCTCTTGCCGTCTCCTGGTGCTCAAAGGGCCACCACGTACAAGAAGGATCCTCTTTTTTTTTTTCCTTTTAGGCAATTGGGGTTAAGTGACTTGCCCAGGGTCACACAGCTAGTAAGTGTCAAGTGTTTGGTCTCAGACTGGATTTGAACTCAGGTCCTCCTGACTTCAGGGTCGGTGCTCTATCCACAAGTATCTGCTTGCTTGGTCCGCTTGGCCCCAGAGAACAGAACCAGGAGCTACAGAGAGGGCGATCTGGGCCTGATCTGAGGAATCACTTCCAGACATTGGAGTTTTCCCGCAGTTTGCTCGAGATCCTAGTCCAGGTTCAGGTGAGACTTTGAGGTCTCTTCCTACTCAGAGACCACGTGCTTCCTTGTTGCCCTTGCCCTTTCCTGGAGGAGCACTCGGGGGCTGCATTATTGGAGCCCAGAAGTGGCGTTTGGTTCTAGAAGCTCGGACAGCTCTGCTGGTCTGTCCTGTCTGTGGTTCTTCTTCTGCTTCGTCCGTAACTGTTCTTGTCGTTCTCTGGCCATCACTGGGCCTCACGTCAACCCTTCTGCGGGCCACTGTTGGCTGGCTTGTGAGGGGGAAGCTCGTTGTAACTTTTCATCTCTTCTATATTATCAGTAGCTTTATGTTCTACCCTGTCCTGCCCTTGGCTACCGTACTCCTCTACTTGGCAAGGAGACACACTGTTTGCCAACTGAGCTCTCTTGTCGTCCCCATCGGGGTGATTATAAATGGCTGTTAAGTTCCTGTAAGCGTTAGCCATAGTCCGTGTGCATGTCTTTTCCTGTGTCCCTTTCCCTTTTTCTGCAGCGGGAAGTTTCTTTGAGCAGGTCGGGTTGGAGCTGTTGTGTCCACCTGGGATCCTCTCTGTTTTATCCTGGCTTCTGCCTTGGTGTTGAGTTTGACCTTTCCTCCTACTAGGCTGTGATGGATGGTAGCTGATTGTGAAATGACTTCCTCATCAATAACCAGTCATTTCCTGTTGGATAATAGTCCGATTCACAAGGCACCTGCCTTGACTTCCTGCCTTTCCAGCCTCATGATGCGTCTCCTGCCTTCTTTTCACCCTCCTGCCTCGTTCCCTTCTTTGTGTGATCCTCCTGAGTATTGAGGTAGACACTGGCTCGACCGGGGGGGGGGGGGGGGGGGGGGGGGGGGGGCTGGGAGCCTTGGGTGGTTCTCCTGATAATGTCTTCACCACTTCATCCTTGACACCAGAGGTCTGTCTACACTAGAGGCTGCTGTGGCCATCACTGTGGTCTTTGAGCCCAGCA